AAAACAAACAACACTGTTGGTCTACAGGTCAAAAGCCAGGGTGGCTTCCTGAGCTGACAAATAGTTGCCTGCATAGACAGTAATGTTGACAATTTGATTTTATGTAAGTCTTATTCATTTCCCTTCACTTGTTTGTGTTTGTATGAGTGATGTGGTCGTGGTGACGTAAACGCCGCTCTCTCTGCTGAACTTCAGCAGTCAGTCCGGTGTATCTACTGGCTATGATAACTGTCTGATGGTGTGCAGACTACATTCATCTGGTGCACCGCAGGCGCACACTCGTGTGGTAATGGTGTGGACCCATTGGCTGAAGCAGCACGTCTCTAAACAAAGAGACAGACAGACAGACAGACAGACAGGTGTGTCCTGTCAGGTGAAGCTCAGCAGGCTATGGATGGATGGAAAGCTTTTAGAAACAAGCCCAGTTCTCTACAGTTTAGGATGTCATTGTCCTGGATAACTCTCCAGTTCACTCCACTGACAGTCACTGTAACGGAACATAACAGAAACATCACTGTCATAGATGATGTCATAGATGATGTCACTGATAGGCTTACCTGAGCAGGGAAAATTCCAGGTGTAGAAAGAGAAATCTGACTTTACACACTCCCTCAGAGCAGATCCAGACTCAATACAGTCAGACCTGATCCACCACACAGGTCTGCGTATGGAATCCTCTTTCTGTCCTACAGAAACAGCAGAGCCACAGTCCAGATCTCTGCAGGCGATGGCTGCTTCCTTCAGGGTCAAGTCATAGCCATTCACTGGTCTCCATTCTCCATGTTTGACCTCCAGTGTTCCTGCACAACGACTGTGTCCTCCCACCAACCTGACAGGCTCTGAACAGAAACCAGAGAGTCATCAGTAAAAGAACAAAGTGAGTTTCATTAGAAGAGAAATGAACCAAATCAAAGCTGCAGCTCCTCCTCTGTCCATCAGCACATTTAACTCTATGTCTGCTGCTTCTGAAGCTGCTTTTAACACAAATTTTACCACAGAGGAGCTGGTCTACATTTTTAATCAAACCTGTCAGACGGTACTGGAATCTACTGCTGCATACAAATATAAAAAGTCAAATAGAATACCCCAACCCTTGCTACATGACTCCAACTGGAAATTATTGAGAGACTGTAGGAAAAAGGCAAGAAAATGGAAAACTATGGTTATTTTATCAATTCTAAGCCTGTTTCTCCGTCCTTATCTGAAATCATTTACTACATGAAACCAACCATGTGCATTCTCAATTTTATTCCCACTAAATTTCTCAAAGAGGTTATTGACACAGTTTTGCATGGTATTTAATTGAATATTAATTCCTCGACAGCAGAAGGAACTTGCCCATTTACTTTCGAACATGCTGTGGCCCAACCCCTTTTAGAGAAACCGACCCTTAAAAGATCAAGGTTAGGTTTTTAACAATTGCTCTGAAAACGTTTAGGCCAATTTTTAAACTTCTCTTTTCATCAAAAGTTTTAGAAAAAGTGGTTTCAACCAAACTTTCATCGTTTAAGTGTCATAACAGCAGCTTTGAGAAGTATCATTCAGGCTTTAGAGCTTTATGTAGTAACTCTTAAAGGTGACCAGTGATCTCCTTTTTGCTGCCAACAGGGGAGGGAGTGCAGTTTTAATTCTTTTAGACCTAAGTGCAGCCATTTTAATCAGTTGTCTTAAAACCTGGGTTGGCATCACAGACACTGCAATTCGTTGGTATATTTTTTTTTACCTTTTAGTCTATTCACATTACCTGTGGTGTACCACAAGGCTCAATTTTAGGTCCAATTCTATTTTCTATCTACATGCTCATCCTTGGCAAAATCATCCAACATTGCAACATATCTTTTCATAGCTATGCAGAGGACATACAGATATACTTCCTGCGGAGACCTGATGACCCCAAAACCCTCGCTGCTGTTTTAGATTGTCTCAGTGGTGTCAGCTGTTGGATGGCACAAAATAACCTTCAATTACCGAGCTCAAAATCAGGAGTCATACTGTTCCCACCCTCAAACCCAGCCAGTCACATTGTGAATGCCCCTGGTCCCCTGCCCACTAAACTGAAGCCCATTCCCAACATTTAATTCAGATTTAAGCTCTCAATCAGCCTCCATGCTGACGACCTTGCAGCTGGCCTGCTGGCACTGGCGGAGGTGCAACAGGCAGAAATGCCTTGCAGAACAGAAACACCTGTACTTGCATCTAAGTCTATCTGGAACACCAGTGACTACAGTGAATAGGGCAGCTGACACCTAGGAAAGACTGGAGGGCAGTCAGGGAAGACTGACTGCACCAGGGGTGGACGGGCTAGTTACTCTTTCCACATGCCAATGACATGACTGCTTCACTATCTATCAATCAATCAATCAATCAATCAATTTCATTTATAAAGCCCAATATCACAAATCACAATTTGCCTCACAGGGCTTTACAGCATACGACATCCCTCTGTCCTTATGACCCTCACAGCTGATCAGGAAAAACTCCCCAAAAAACCCTTTAATGGGGAAAAAACGGTAGAAACCTCAGGAAGAGCAACTGAGGAGGGATCCCTCTTCCAGGACGGACAGACGTGCAATAGATGTCGTACAGAACAGATCAGCATAATAAATTAACAGTAATCCATATGACACAATGAGACAGAGAGAGAGAGAGAGAGAGAGAGAGAGAGAGAGAGAGATGCAGGTAATGACAGTAGCTTACAACAACATTATTGAAAGTAATAATATTATAGTTATAGTTCTGGCTACTGTGGTACAATATGTTGAAAGTATGTATTAATATCTGGCAGTATACATGTGTGACAATAGTCATATGTGTATAATAACAGTAGAAGTATGACTAATGACTAATGATGGCAGCAGCAGCAGGAGGCATCTGGCAGGACCACGGCAGCAGCACAACCACACACGTCACGCTGTCCAGGCACCGCTGTGATATGAGTTAATCTGAGAGACAGTGGAGCACAAAGGCTCCGGAGAAGAAGCCGAGTTAGTGACATCCAGAATGGCCGAGTTAGCAAGATGCAGTAATAGAATACGAGAGAGAGAGAGAGAGAGAGAGAGAGAGAAGGAGAGAAGGTGCCCGGTGTATTATAGGGGGGTCCTCAGGCAGACTAGGCCTAAGTCAGCCTAACTAGGGGCTGGTACAGGGCAAGCCTGAGCCAGCCCTAACTATAAGCTTTATCAAAGAGGAAAGTCTTAAGTCTAGTCTTAAATGTGGAGACGGAATATGTTTTGAAACTACAAGCACAACACAAAGGCAACAGCCTGGGATGGAAAATGGACCAATCAGGATGGATAATACCAGAAAGACTGGAACGGCAGCGAGTAATGACCTCAAGATCCTTTGGAAATGCAGCTGCAGATGGGCCAAAGTGACATCACACTGGGGCCTGTGAATACATCAAGGAAAGTCAAAGTGCCGGGGGAGAAACCATATGCAAACTTGTACTGCTTTGGCAGGTGAGACTAGGGGGACTCAAAGCCTGGTTGAGCACCACAGTGCTGCTGAGTCCACTATTTTAGATGGTGACAGAGAGGAGCTGCAACAGCCATCCTCACAGGAAGTGCAACACCAAGAGCAAGAACATGCCCCACTGCAAGGAATGTGCTTTGAGCCTGAAAGCAGCCAAATGACGAGAAAACCACCAGAGGAGAAGCAAATCCGCCAGGCCAAAGTGAAGTGGCCCCAAACCAGCACCAAAGAGGCATGGAGATGCTTTGAGCAGAATTTACATCCAGTCCTCCAGAACTAGCTAGCTAAAGGGCAGCGCAACTGCCAAACTCAACCTCTTTTGAAACATCATCTACAAAGAAGGCAAGCAGAAATTTGGAGAAATTCCCAAGAAGAAGATCAACCCCATGCAGAGAAGAAGAGAGAGGAGGAAAGGAAAGAAGGAAAAACGATTTCTCTGGAAAGCATGGAGGAATGCACAAAAGCGAAAGAAGGAGGGTCGTAAAGCTCTCTGGGACCAGCTGAAATCAAGACTTGCCAAGCTCAGGAGAGCAGAGAGGATTCAGAAACGCAGGAGCAAGAACGAGAAAGCACGCACAAGCTTTTTCTGAAACCAGCCCCCAAGATGTGGTCAAAGATCACAAAGAAGGAAAGAAAAGAGCTAGTGGTCTCAGAAGTAATCAGGATGGAGGATGAGACATAGACTACAAGATCAAAGCTGTGAGCCAGCAGCAGCGAGGAGGGTGGACAAACTGGGAGGCAGTCACCAACAGGGTCATGTGGAAGATACCTCAGGCAAGACTGAACTTCCTTATTGGGTCCACTAATGACACCCTACCATGCCCCCAGAATGTACATTTCTGGCATGGCTCACAAACAAACTGCAGTCTAAATATACAGATGGTGCCACAGCCAAGTGCTCCAAAAACTGACAGAGGTGTTGGAGGAACGCAGATTTGAAGCCAACAGAGCCAGCCCATCATTCTCCAAACCATGGATAGGCTTCATCAGGCAACGAGCTTAAGCAGAAAACATCAAGCAGAGGGAGTGGTCTGTACTGAAACCTGGATGTGTGTGGTAGATGAGGGTTGACCTCAACCAGCTGCTGAAGTTTCCACCTGATATAACAACAACTTCCCTACAGCCAGGCATAGTCTTGTGGTCTATCTCTGCCAAGACAGTGATCACGGCAGAACTCACAGCACCAAGATAAGAGGTGATGGAGGCAGCTATTGAGAGGAAAAAAGGAGAAGTACAGCAAGCTTGCTGCAGCTTGCACTGAAGCAGGGTGGAAGGCATGCACCTACCCTGTGGAAGTCGGATGCAGAGGCTTTGTTGGAAAATCCACCCAGGAGCTACTAAAAAGCCTCAGAGTCACTGGGTCCAAGCAAGAGAAGGCACTCTGGGAATTGGCTGAAGAGGAAGAGAAAGGAAGCTTCGTGCTGTGGCTTAGAAGAAGAAACCCAAAGTGGGGGAACCAAGGACCCTAGGGCCAGCCACAGGAAGCGGAAGCAAGATGTCAACACCTAGACATGTTCGAGGATTCAAGGGGTGAAATATCTGCGAAGGGTGGCTCCCAGCTGACGACCCCGCAGATGATCTGCTGGCACCAGTGGAGGTGCGACAGGCAGTTATGCCTTGCAGGTAACAATCACCTGTGCTTGCATCTCAGACACATTTCGAAAAAGTTGTCCAGTCCTGCTTCCTCCAAATGAGAACCATCTCCAGAATTAAACCAATGCTCTAACAATAACAATAACATAATTTTGTAGCCTTAGATCCTTCCCTAGTACCCTTCTGGGTGTTCCAAAGTCAAGACTAAAATCTAAAGGCAAAAGTCCTTTTGCCATCATATTCCCCCCAGCTTTGGAATGACCTGCCTGAGGAGATATGGCTGGCACAATCAATGGCTTCTTTTGATTCACATCTTAAAATCCATTTCTGTAGCCCTACTTTTATGTGTTCTTGTCTTCTTATTTATCTTGTAATTTATCTTTTTGTTTTTTTGAGATTTATCATTATTAGCAGTATTTTGTGTGTACAGGTTTATTCTTTTATTGTATTTACTTGTTTGTTTATGTTTAGTATCATATTTATCTCTATTTCTCATCCTCATCTGTCGTCTTTCTAATACTTCCTTGTGTCTAATCTCTTGTTTAATTCTACCTTAATTTCTGTCTGGCCTTAGTTCGGCACTGTTGTTTGGCTTCCATTGTTACACTGCCTCTGGGGTTTCATGCTTCTGCTTTGCTTTGTTTGTAAAAGCACTTTGTAATCTTTGCTTTCAAAGTTGCTATATAAAAGGTTCTTATTATCAACGTTATTATTCTACCTGAGCATTTGAGTCCAACAGCTTTGCCAGGTGAGCAGGTGTTTCTATCTGAGCCTGAGCTTCTACAGTCCAGGAGAGCAGACTCATGGCCTCCACACTGGAACTCTTTGGTCCACATTGGAGCCTCCACTTCTCCATAGAGCGCCCCCTGGAGGACTGAAGGAGCCCCACAGCCAAGCTCCCTACAGACCACCTCTGCATCCTGCTGGTCAAAGTCAGCTTCACACACTGAGGACCACCTCTGGTTAGACTTCACCTCCAGTCTGCCTGAGCACAGACTGGTCCCATCCACCAGCCTGACAGAGTCTGGAGAGATAATAGAAGATAAAATAGAGAGAGATAAAAGACACCAGACACTAAATAAAAAGATGTCATCAAACAACAATTCACTGATTCAAACTGGACTCACAACAATTCCAACATCACTTCATCATTAACAACAGAACACGTCTTTATAAGACCACAGACTGCAGCTGTCTGACATCACATTTACATTTCGTACTCTCTAACATACGTTATCCATTTCTCTGTCCATTTTTTTTCTGAGATGATCTGTAAGCCACAATAAAAATGTGTTTAGAAAATGATCCCTAAAATCTCAAGGGATAGGGGCTGGACTCTCCTTTAAGGAGTTGTCCAGGGTGAAGGACGACACGTGGGTGTGGAGATACTGACGAGCCCCCGGCTGAGCTGAGCTGATCAAAGTTGTGTCCAGTAGGTCATTGATGCCTGTTATGATGGCAACCAAAGAACCTGCTGCTGGAAACCAGTGGCTCAGAAAGCTGTCAAGCTGAAGGAGGAGTCCTTTCAGGCTGGTTGGTGGTTGGCCCAGGGGACTCCTGAAGCAGCACACATGTATGTTTCATATATACAGATATATATCTTGGTGCATTCAGCAGCTGATTTACTGAGGCAGCAGCTCATCAGACTCCATCATGGCTGCTGGAGACAGTCTGCTGCCATTCAAGCTGGAACATGTGTGAGTCATCCTGGGGACATTACTGTCATAGATGATGTCACTGATGATGTCACTGATGGGCTTACCTGAGCAGGTGAGATCCAGGATGGTGGAAGAGAAATCTGATGTTGCACACTCCCTCAGAGCAGATCCAGAGTGAACACATTCAGACCTGATCCACCACACAGGTCTGTAGGACTCCTCTCTCTCTCCTACAGAAACAGCAGAGCCACAGTCCAGATCTCTGCAGACAACACCTGCTGTCTTCAGGGTCCAGTCAGAGTAATAGCCAGTCACTGGTCTCCATTCTCCCTCACGTTTGACCTCCAGTGTTCCTGCACAACGACTGTCTCCTCCCACCAACCTGACAGGCTCTGAACAGAAACCAGAGAGTCATCAGTAAAAGAACAAAGTGAGTTTCATTAGAAGAGAAATGAACCAAATCAAAGCTGCAGCTCCTCTTCTACCTGAGCAGGTGAGTCCAACAGCTTTGCCAGGTGAGCAGGTGTTTCTATCTGAGCCTGAGCTTCTACAGTCCAGGAGAGCAGACTCATGGCCTCCACACTGGAACTCTTTGGTCCACATTGGAGCCTCCACTTCTCCATAGAGCGCCCCCTGGAGGACTGAAGGAGCCCCACAGCCAAGCTCCCTACAGACCACCTCTGCATCCTGCTGGTCAAAGTCAGCTTCACACACTGAGGACCACCTCTGGTTAGACTTCACCTCCAGTCTGCCTGAGCACAGACTGGTCCCATCCACCAGCCTGACAGAGTCTGGAGAGATAATAGAAGATAAAATAGAGAGAGATAAAAGACACCAGACACTAAATAAAAAGATGTCATCAAACAACAATTCACTGATTCAAACTGGACTCACAACAATTCCAACATCACTTCATCA